TTTTTTTTTTTTCCACCCCCCCCCCCCCCCCCGGGGACCTATTTACAAGTAAAATAACATCAAGGTGTCACACAGTACGTGGCATATATTTAACCAAACGATTGTCAACTATGAATCAGGAACTTTTCTTGGCTGAACATTTTTTTTCTTCCTTTTTTTTATCATTTATCCCCCCCCCTCTTTTCTTATGAAAAATAAGGAATGGGACATTGTTTTTTTTTTCATTCCTTGCTTTTCTAGTTGTGTTGGTGCATCTTCCGTTCTTACCCATTATTAGACTTATAACTTAAATTTGAGTAAAAATAACTTAAAAAATATTTTTCATTCTATAGTTAAATTCATATCAAGGGAGACTCAAATTTTTACTTAAATTGCAAATAGTTGGATTTTATTTTTTTTAAAGATTTAATGATTATATTTCACTCTCCTTTAAATTTGAGTTTTTTTTATTGAAACTATTTGTATCAAATTAATTTTTTTAGGTTAATTGTACTGAAAGTCTCTTAAATATGAGGTTTGTCTTATTGTGGTCCTCAATATTTTAATTGCATTATTTTGATTCATGAAATATTGAATATGTTTTTATGTGATTCGTCAAATAGATAACGTTCAGATTGTTAATAATTTTTTATCATAAATTTGTTACGTGATATTTAAATATAGGTAAAAGAATAATTTTAATAACTCTTGATCAAATTTTTATCCAAATAGTTACCTAAATTATATTATATTGATCATAAACTATCCAAATTTTAGTCAAGTGCTACAGATATTATACATTTTTTGTCAAGAGTTATTCAAATTTTATTCAAGAACTGTTCAAATTATTTTTTGCTCATATTTAGATATCACATGACAAGTTTATGTTAAAAAAAATCATTAACAATTTAGACGTTGTCTACTTGAGAAATCAAACATATTTAATATTTCAGGAAAAAAAATAATGCAATTAAAATGTTAGAGACCAAAATGAGATAAACTCTATACTTTGGGACCTCTAATATAATTAATCTATTTTTTTATTCAAACATTGACTCGAATTTTTACTTAAATTTGAGTGAAAAAAGGAAATATTCTTAGTATTTGAACATAAAAATAGAAGAAGAAAAATTAAAAAGAAAATAGCAAGGAAATAAGAGAATGAACACACTTTTTTATTTTCATGCCTTGAAACACAACCTAATGTTAACCATTTTTCCCAATTCAGCCCACATTATAACCTCCATTCTCTTATTTTTAATCTCATGAAAAAAAATCATATCCACAGGCAAAGAAAATCCCACAAAAATGAGCTTCTAATGTAACAAGGAAACACAACCCTTCCTTGCTCACAATTTGCACACAAAAACAAAAACCATGGCCCCTAGCATTCTGGATAAGAATAAGCACAACTAAATCCCAATAGAGAAACGAACCAACGGCTACATAATATCCACGTGTACCACTTTGATCACTCCTCGGAAAAGTTGATGATCCGAGTGAGCGCAAATTAACCAATCAGAATTAAGTACACCCTTCACACAGATCCTTCTCTGTTATAAATTCTCAGAGTCACAATTTAGTTGAACCACAGCTGAGCATTTTCAGTCTCATTACTCTGTTCAGTAACCAATCTCTAGCTTTCAGTGAGTGTGTGTGAGAGATTCGTGATGTCGGCCACAGGAGAAGTTGAAAACGCTACAGTCGAGCAGCCGGCGGCGGAGGTTGCTGCGGCTGAGGAGCAGCCAAAGGTGGTGGAGAAACCGGTCAAGGAGAAGAAGCCAAGAGGTCCTAAAGAGAAGAAGCAGAGAGTTCCTAAGACTGCTGCTCATCCTCCTTACTTTCAGGTAAGAACACATGATCGAATTCTTGTCTATCTATCATTTCTGTGTCTATATGCAATTATGCATAGGAATTGTGTGCGATTCAAATTTCGTTCGTGATTGACAAGTTTCAGTCACTTTTGATCGGTAATTCTACGGTTATTGTGAGATATCGCTACATAAATTCGAATAGTGTGCTTTTGAATTCTGTGATCAATGGAGATTGACTGATGAGAGCGTGAATTTGTCGATGAATTGTTTTTGCAGATGATCAAAGAGGCCTTGCTTGCTCTGAACGAGAAGGGAGGATCGAGCCCGTACGCAATTGCAAAGTATATGGAAGAGAAGCACAAGGCGGTGCTACCAGCGAATTTCAGAAAAATTATGGGACTTCAGCTGAAGAATTCTGCTGCTAAGGGAAAGCTGATCAAAATCAAGGCCTCATACGAGCTCTCCGCCTCCGGCAAGAAGGACATGGGCGCAAAAACGGTTCCAAAAAGCACTGTTGCAGCAAAAAAACAGCCTAAACGGGTCAAATCCACCACCACCACAAGGGCAAATGCGGCAAAGAAAACAGAGGCGGTGAAGAAGACTGCGAAGAAGATTGGGGTGGCGAAAAAGACGAAGAAATCGGAACCAACGAAGGCCAAGCAGCCTAAGTCTATCAAGTCCCCAGCTGCGAAGAGGTCTCGGAGGGCCGTGGCTAAAGCGTAAATAGCAGTAAAAATGTTGTAAAATCTGTGAATATGGGAAATAACTGTCTCTAGCTTTAGTATCTGTTTTTGTTCCAGTGTTGTTGATGAAAGTGGTTGCAGAAAGAATAGCTAGCTTGAACATATGTTTTGTAATTCTGCTGCAAAAATTAGGGTTTTAATGAAATGAATGAAGCTTTGTAGTCTGCTCGTATATGATGAAGACGGTACGAATGATTCTAGATGTTTCCTTTGAGTAAGAGTGGATTAATAATGCTCATATTTTCGATGGTTAGAAAATGAATTCCCATGGATTCTAGATGTTTCTTTTCATTACGACGATGGAATTAACAATGCTCATGCGAATTTACCAATGAAATTAAACCTACAACATCAAGTTTTTCCCCAAAACAATCCATAGTTGTTAAGAGAGACGAGATAGAACTCAAATGTTAGAAATTAACTTTATGGTAGTGCTGTTGATGATTCCGCGAGGGGGTGATGTTCTTGTTCAACGTAAAAAACCTACGAGCAAACCTAAAAGAGAGAAAATAGGACCGTAATCTCAATCTCTGTGTCGACTACTCACAAAACCTTCAGGTTTCTTAAGGGAGAGGGAGAGGGATAGAAGGCATCGTGAGATTAAGTAGGGGTGTTTACCCTCCCAACGGCTACATTAGAAAATATTGTCCTCCGTTTTTTTATCCGATGCTTTGGGAAAGAATTTTTTCTTAATTTACCATATTCGATTAGGTATAGTGTTCTTATTCGACTTTCTATTTGATTAATTAGGTAGAAAATCGGGTAAACACTTTTATAGTTATTAATTTTTGAATTATTTTAAAATTTTAATTCAATAACATGTATTAATTTAATAATACAATAAATCAATAATACTAAAATTTAAAACAACTATAACAACAATTACAATAAAATATTAGAAAGTATGAACATCAATCAATTATAATTGTTACACAAATAAAAATAATTATTTTAAGTTTAAATCATATAAAATACATTAAAATTATAACTACTCAAATAATTCATTAGTTCACCACAAATCATGTAACATATACAAAAAACAAATTCATATTTTCGCAACTCAAACATCCACAACAACAATAATGTTATAATATAAATTATATCACACAAATACTCATATAATTACTAAAATAAATATTAAAAAATTAAATAAATTTTTTACAAGTAAGGTAGGGTAGAAATGCAAAAATTGATGGATATTACCTATTTTTACCCGATTTAATCGAAAGATTAAAAAATCTTTTACATTTCTATCTGATTTTTGTGACTAACCATTCAATAGAATAGGAATAGGGTCAGGTAAAATGAAAAATTATGACCAATCAAAAATTTGAACGGCCTTACGTGGGAGGAACACAAAGTAGAGGTCGGCGCCTCTCCTGATGCCTTTGGCTTTGAGTGCATTTGGTTTAGAGAGGTTAAGTACCAAGTTATCCTAACTGTAGAGGCAACCTGGGTGAGACTCAGAATTGGTTGACATAATTGGTATTTGATTTAGATCAGACCAATGGTCAGATTCTTCGCCTTGTCATGAATTCCTTCAACTTTGGCATGAATTCTATCATTTAGACTTTCATACTTTTGTTTTTGTTATTTTAGGAAAAAATTAAAAAATTAAAAATAAATCATAGAAGATTTTGAATTTAGTGTCATTAGATGACACGTGATTTTATATTAATTAGTTAGATTACAAGTTTTTATTTTTGATAATTTTTGAATAATTAGAAATTTTATTTTTATTATGGGGACGATTAGGATTTTAGTCGTTTCCCTTATATAATATGAATTATTCATTAAATAATATACATTTTTAGAGATATTTTTTTGTTTCTTTCTTTGTAGATTCATAGTACATTTGTTCTATATACTTAAAAACAATAATTTTTTTTGTATTTCTTGTTCAGCTACGTCAATTGGTATAAGAGTCTTGATTAACACGATATGATTCTTTATCAGTGAAGTGGTGACAACTTTTCGAAGTGATTATGTAGAAAGGGTTCTTCCAAAAGCCAACTTATTTAACTCTCAATGTTCGTCCCAATAAGCTTATCACGAGTCCCACGATCCGGTTGCTTGGTCAACGTTTAGAACAAATCAGGATTTTGATTTGAATGGGGTTCATAACAATGATAGGACTCAACCTGTTCAAGATCTCAATCTTATCACCATCAACAAACAACAACATATTTATGATGCATATTCAAGTGATGATAACGAAAAGTATGTTGCAGGTATGTTTGGTGGTTATGATTATAGAGGATGTGTTTGAGTCTAGAAATTTCTTTCTGAAAGTTAACCTATCTAATTTTGCCGGTTAAATTCATAAAATAGATTTTTTAGATTGGTTGATTAAAGTTGAGCGATTATTTGATTATCATGAAATTCTTCTTAAGGAGAGAAAAGTAGGTTTAGTGAGGTACAAATTGAAGGGCATGACTTATCCTTGTTGGGAACATGTGAAAACTTCAACATAAATTCAAAGTTTGTTCTTGGCAACATATGAAACTCTTGCTAAAACAAAGATTTGTACCATCATATTATGATGAAGATGAATGATACATTTATGATATATATCAATCTGTAAGACAATCTTTTTCATGTTATAATAATTATTCGGTTACTCAAATCTAATATCAAAATCCTGTTAGTGTAGAGATTTCAAATACTATGTTGGATCAAAAAATTAAAGTGAAAAATAATAAACCTAGTGAGGTGACCGTAAGTGTTGGGGAACCTTTTGAAGGTTGTCAACATGAGAAACTTGAAAAGAATTTCACAGATGATATTATGAATTTTTAGAAGAAGAAAAACAACAAAGTTTTTGGATGATTTTCATTAATCACGTATTTCCTTAGTTTACATCGATATTTAAACTTATTATACTCTTGGAGTTTTAGGAAATAATGAGATTTTTTCTCTTATTGAAAAACAACTGGATGTGTGTGAGTATCACACGGATGCAAGGGCTATAGAACAAAAGATAAGAAGCTTGGCCCTTTTCCACTCTATGCATAGACAGTATCCTCCTTATAATCACATATCAATTTCCTCCTAGTACGCAACACAGGGAGTACTCCAGAAGGCAGACAAACAGAACCAGACAGATCAGAAGAGCATCTGTCCAGCACTGCTTTATGCGCTAAACAGTCTGCAACCATATTTGATTCCTTGAAAACATGTCTCAACTGAAAGTCCAAATACCCCAACATCTCCTTTATTTGATAAAACATTCTCAAGCAATGCCATACACAGCCACCATTCCCCAACACAGCCGGTGGTTGTGGCACAATAAACATTTAAGGCCTAAGACAATGACGGCAATGAGATTTTTTTTTTAATTTTTTTAACAATAATTTAATTTTTTAATTTAAAAATTATTATTTTTACTTTTTGATAAGATTTGAAATTGTTAATTATTTTTTTATTCAAATTTTGCTAATATATTTTTTTGATTAATAATATGACTCTTGATCAAAAATATTTATAGGAATAAAATTAATTTTTTCATTAATATTTTTATATTCTTTTTATTTGTTTTATATGTTCTTTGTCAAAACTGTAGTATTAGATGATTGACTTTATTATAAATAAATTCATTGTTATCTTTTTTTTTTTTTGGATTATTTTCCTATCTTTGAATTTTACTTATTTATTTATGTAACTTTCACCTAAATTTTTATTATATTTTATTTGTTATGAAGAAGAATTCTATCAAAACATTTATTTCATGAGAATAAATGATTTAATTGGTGTTTTGTATTCAGATGAGAAAAAAAAAACTAGTTTTAGAGAAGTAGAGAATGTGTTTTGTTTGATTTTTTTGACTAAAGAGAGATGTTTATTATACTTTTTTCGATTGCAGAAAGAAATGAATTTTATCAACACTTTTTTTTTTGTTAATCTTTTTTTATTCTCTAATAAATGTGATTGTGTGAGGTGATCTGGACTTTTGGGCCCAAATTTTTAATTTTTTTTATTGATTTACTCTTTCAAAAATTATTTTATTAGGCTATATTGTAGTAAATTTTATTTTTTAACTTACATTATATTATTGATCTTTAAATGTCGGACATTTTTTATATGTGGGGCCTAAAGCCCGTGCTTTTATTTTTACAGTAGGGCTAACCCTGAACACAACATTTACCAGAGCAAGAGAATCTGATTCAATTAATGCTTTATACTCCTCCAAACCATAGGTCCTTATCAATCTTAACCCATCCAGAAGATCCCTGAACTCAGCAACCATGTTAGACGCCTTTCCATAATAAGAGGAACCAGCTAACACCACAGATCCCCACTCATTTCTCCACACAGCACCCCCCCCTGTAGGCCTTGGGTTTCCCTTAGAAGCCCCATCCACATTAGGTTTTAGCCATCCAGTACTTATTATTTTAGGTAAGTTTCTTAAAATTACGGATTTGAATCTGTTTTAGAAGTTTTAGAGTTTTGGATTTTTCTATAAATTGTCTTATGTATTACTATTCTATTCAGTTAATCAATCAACAACACAATTTTTTAAGAATTATTCTCTTTATTTTCTTCGTGGATTCAGAGTGTGTATTTTTTAGACTTACAGACGGTGATCTCTCTGTGTTTTTCGATTACCACTGCGTCAAAATTGACCACTTAAAATAAGGGTAAAATAATTGAAAATAGACATTCGAGCTTCAAACGAGCTACTCGACTTGAGCTTGACTCGTTTATAAACAAGCCCAAATTTTTGTTGATATTTATGGGTTTTTTGGAAGCCGGTTCTCCTTTACAACTTATTGGACACCAAATTTAACCCCAACATTTTTTGGTTAAAAAGGACATTTTAGGTTAGAAAGACTGAAATACTCTTAATATATGATTGTTGAATGAATAAAACGAATTAGGAAACCAAATTAAAATATTAACCAAACAATTAATGTTTGAAAAATCTTCAACAATTTCTAAATTATAACAGCCTAAAAAAGCTCTTATAATAACTTTACATATCTGAAAATAAGAAAACTATCAATCTATTGTGCATGAATGAAAAATTGAAATGTGAACCTGATGACCTAAACTTTAGGCTACAGAGGACTTAATGACTTAAAAGACTAAGCTGTGAATTTAATGCCAAATAAGTAATCTAAGATGTACCCATAGACAATTCTCGGTTGTTTAGGGTTTTTTGTGAGTCTGTACTTACTTTTCCACTTAATTATGGAAAAGTACTCAATACAAAATATTTTGTACAGAAGTGTTTTATGTTTTTTGGATGATAGAAATGTT